GGTCCGGGCTGGGGATTCGAACCCGCCACCTTAGGTGTACGTGGCTGGCGCCTTAGCTGGTTGAGCTATAGGCGCCGAGCCAGAACAGAACTTTCTTAGAAAAAGACAGATGAATGGTCAACAAACACATGAAAAAATGCTCATTGTCCCTAATCGACAGAGAAATGCAAATGAAAACCACTTAATTCCAGGGAGAATAGCCCATATCACAAAGTCCTAAAGCTGCAGAGACTGGCCAAGATGTGGAGAGAAGGAACACTTTTATGGTGATGATGAGATTGCAAACTAATACAGCCTTTTTGGAAAGTATGGAGAATCCTCAAAGAACTAAAAGTAGACCTTCTATCTGGAATCCTACAATCCCATCACAAGGTATCTACCCAGAAAAATAAATTATTTTACCATAATGACATATGTACTAGAATGTTTATTGCAGCTCAACTCACAATCGACAAGATATGGAATCAACCCAAGTACCCATCATCTCACAACTGGATTAATAAGCTGTGGTATATGTATATATATACACACACCACAGAATACTATTTAGCTATAAAAAGATGGAGACTTTATACCTTTCATATTAACCTGGATGGCGATGAAGAACATTCTACTTAGTAAAGTATCCTATAATGGACAAGCAAGTATCCAAGGTACTTAATTCTAATATAAAACCAGTAGATGAACAAATATACTCCTACACAAGAGAAAAACACAATTTGGCTGGGTGCCCATAGCTCAACAGTTAGGGCACAAGCCACATGATCTGGGGCCAGTGGGTCTAAACTCAGCCTGAGCCTGCTAAACAAAACAAAATAAAACAAAACAAAAATAGCCGTGCATTGTGGCGGGAGCCTGTAGTCCTAGCTATTAGGGAGGCTGAGGCAAGAGAATCGCTTTAGCCCAAGAGTCTGAGGTTGCTATGAGCTATGATGCCAAGGCACTCTACCAAGGGTGACAAAGTGAGACTCTGTCTCAAAAAAAAAAAAAAAAAAAGAAAAAGAGAGAGAGAGAGAAAGAGACAGAGAGAGAAATAAAATTAAATTCAAGTGAGGGCAGGAGGCAGGAGGGGGGGAATTGGTGTGCTCTCAACTAATAGAGCACAATGTAACAGTATGTGGCACCTCCTAGCTAAAGGGCACAACTACAACTTGGACTCTACCTAACAAATGCAAACAATGTAACCTAATCATACCCTTATATTAAACTGCAATAAAAAAAATTGTACTCCATTCCAGGCCCTATTGAATTATGCTCTCCATTAATAGATAATTAAGGGATGACTTTATATATTCAGACTAATACTATCTCTTCCTAAAGAAAAGGAAGGGGAAATTTGAAACTCAATTTAATGAATTAGAGGTTCTGGGACACTGCTTCTCTCTCTCTCTTTTTTTTTTTTTGAGACAGACTCTCACTTTGTTGCCCTTGGTAGAGTGCTGTAGCATCCAGCTCACAGCAACTTCAAACTCTTGGGCTCAAGTGATTCTCTTGCCTCAGCCTCCCAAGTAGCTGGGACTACAGGTACCCACCACAATGCTGGGTTACTTTTAGAGAGGTCTTTATCTGGTTCAGCTGGTCTTGAACTCATGAACTCAGGCAATCCACCTGCCTCAGCCTCCCACAGTGCTAGGATTACAGGGTGATTACAGGCGTGAGCTGGCTGGACATTGCTTCTTATTGCAATCATTCTGCAAATTCCACCTTCCTCTTTGTCCTGAGCTTATTGGAGAGAATGTAAAGTTCAGTACTTTAGAAGGAGGATGGGCGAAAAGGAAAGGACAGGTGCCTTTTCCTTCACAGGCAATTCAGTAACTCATGTAGGGCATGTGAGTGAGAGAATAGGCTAAGAGAAAGAAATGAAAAACAAGAGAAGGAAAGGAATCTGTGGTGACTAAAAGGATACCATGCTATTTTCCTAAGACAGAAAACAGTACAACTTAGGCAAGGCTTTATACTTGGCGGTCCCCATCCCCCAGAAAGTGAGCCTTGGGCAAGCAAATGGAGTGTCATCTGTTTCTACAACTGCTCCCCATTGCTTGCTTCACCACCTGAGCTCCCTCTCCTGTTAGATCAGCTGAGGGATTAGACCCTCATAGAAGCAGGAACTCTACTGTAAACTGCACATGCAAGGGATCTAGGTTTTCCTTATGGAAATCTAATGCTTAGTGATCTGAAGTGGAGACGTAATGTGCCCGAATCATCCTAGATATCCCTCCGCCCCCAGTCCTCTGTCTGTGGAAAAATGGTCTTTCCCTAGTCCCTGGTGCCAAAAAGATTGGGGACCACTGCCTTATACCATCTCCAGGACTGGCTTTGATGGGATTATAGGAGGGTGAGGCAGGCTGAGCTTCCAACAAGAAAACTAAAATGAAAGCTTTTATTTTGGCCAGGTTTTAAGACAGCATATGGCCATGAAATGTTTGGACATGTGGTGGTAACCAATGAAGCAGGTGGTGACATCAGGAAAAGAGGGGTTGGGCAAAGAATCTGACTCTAGAAACCAATCTCAGGTGTTGTCACCTGTCCAGTGCAGATGATATGAAAATTGAGGACTATTCAGTTTCTAAAGAATTCTATTAAAACTGAGACCTCTTGGGTGGCTCCTGTGGCTCAAAGGAGTAGGGTGCTGGCCCCATATGCTGGAGGTGGCGGGTTCAAACCCAGCCCAGGCCAAAAACTGCAAAAAACAAACAAACAAACAAACAAAAAAACCCCCGAGACCTCCTTGAGAAGAGAATTGGGTAACTAAATGGAATAGCTTTGACTTTTTAAGGACTTTAATTTTTTTTCATAAAAAGAGATTAAATTGATAATGAGTTTTTTCTGTTTTTTTTTTTTTTTTGAGACAGAGCCTCAAGCTGTCCCCCTGGG